ATCCCCAGACAGGGTCTTCCTTCTGCTCTTTTTTCAGGCCCCATCACTAGCATGAATAGAGCACCAACTGTGCATGTCGTGAAGCCCAGGGCTGAGCAGAACAACAAGGTGAAGGGGGACAGGCTGGCTTTCTTGTTTCCTTGAGACAGTGCCTTGCCAGGTAGCCCAGGCTGGCCTGAAACTTGCAATCCTCCTGCCTCAGCCTCCTAAGTGCTGAGATTACAGGTATGCACTCCAAACCTGACGTGCTTTTTCGTAAAGAAGGGGTCAGTACTGAATTGAGGGACTGTGCAGGCTGGTGGCACAAAGGACACATCTTAGGTCTTGTCATCCACTTCTGCCCTCAGTCTGGGCATCTGTGAGTTGGGTTGACAATGTGAGCTTCAGGGTGGGGGCAGCTGATGCTGGATACAGGAGGTGAGGTGGGTGTGGTGAGAGGCACCCTGAGGATAGAACAGTGGGATTTAGTTGATGAGTGAGTGAGGAGGATATCAGCAGTAAACAGGAATTTTGAAAAATGCAGCTAACACGTATCAGGCACTGGCTGTATATAGGTATGTTCATATGTTCTGCATGTGCCCATCCTATGTTTGTTGAGTACCTGCTTTCTGCTGTTGGGGATGTGGGAGACACAGTACACATGGTAACTCATTGTGTGAGCAACAACTGATATTTCCCCCACTTTCCAGAGGAGATAACTGAAAAGTGAAGTAACTCACCTGGATCCTACAGCAGGTAAGTGGCAGCATCTGGAACTGGAGGGACACCAGGCATCAGTGATCCAGTGGTCCAGACAACCTACTCATAACTGAGGGTCTTGTTCCCATTTTTGAGGGTGGAGCCTTAGAACCACTGAAGTACCTTCCTCAGGTCCCCTGGCGGCTGACTGAGCCACTTGCTGCCTCTGTGCTGCTGTGCAGGCCCCACACCACACTGTGCAGATCCTGGGCCAAGTTCAGAGGAAAGCAGCACCCTACCTTGCCTGTGTTTCTCAGAGTTCTGGAATGCGAACCTGTTGCTGGGTAGGCTGGGGGTGATGGAACAGACTTCTCTCTACCTTAAAATGAAGGACATTCCCACGGTCCAGTTCCCTTCTCCACCACTGGGGACAAATATGACAACCATGGTGACCAATAAAATAAAGCCACCTTTACTCATTTACCCCTGCTCATCGTTCTGTTAGGACCTGCAGACAGCTGAGCGGTATTACTTCCCATCACACTGTGTGGCACCTGCCTGGCCTTGCTCCCTGGTGCCCTGGGCCAGGGTTGAGAGCTCCCTTCCTTAGCTCTAGGACTGGGCTTTACTGTTGCTGCCACATGTCCTTGCAGAGCTTCAGTTTCCCCATCTATAGGAGACCTCTGAGAAGACCCTTGTGAATGTGGTATCTTTTGTCCCTTTATTTTCCATTTCATTTACACATAAAACATCTCACTCTGAATTGGGAAGAAAAAGTCACAATCAGCAAACCAAGCTGTTGGGTTTTTTTGGAGAATGAAATTAACATTCTCCAACTTCCCGTGGCACAAACCAAAGGCAAGACGAGGCAGTGGAGGGATGGATCACCCCAGCCCCCCCTCCCCACTGACTAAACCTCTCCTGCTTCCTACATTGGACTGGTAAAGATAGCAAGGGTGGCGGGCAGAGCATAAGAGGGTAGGCTTGATGCCCTTCATCCGTTCACTTCCTGTGTGCCTTTGAGCAGGCTCCTTGACATCTCTGAACCTGTGTCCTGTTTGGAGAGCTATAGAGATCCTGTATCTCCTGCTCTGTGTCAAGTGCTCCCCTTGTCTCTCACAGTGACCCAGTACTGGCTGGCACAACACACCCATCTCAGATTAGAACACTGAAACTTGGGGTGTACTTGAGATCAGTAGGGGCTCCTGAGATACCGTGTCATAGTTGCCTGACTCATAAAACATGACTGTAGTGTAGAGACACATCTCCCACCCCTTGGGGCACACTCTGAGTGAGACACATTGGCTTTACTTGAAAATGGTTTGTCAACTCAATAGTCACAGTGAGTTGATGGCAGGCCATCCTGGCAGAGCTGCTGAGACAAAAGAAGCCGTCCTGTAAGGAGAGGGCAGCGGGGAGCAAAGGACCCAAGTCCGTGAGAACCTGGGAACAGGTCAGCTGCTGCAAAGAGGGGCAACATCGAGGGCCTGACCCAACCCCTCAAGCAACTTCGTTTTCAGCTGGGCCCTGGCCAAAGAAGAGACCAGAAAGGAATGAGGAGGACAGGCTCACAGGTGCCAGCACATCCGGGTCACCCATATTCTTTTCCCACTTGGTACAGTTCCGCAGCCAGATGGCAGGAAATCCTGCCTCCTCTGCCTCTCCCACAGTGATGGCCTCATTCAGCAGGCCCAAGGGAACCATGCTGAGTTCAGGACACCAAAGATCCCAGCCCAGAGATTCGAAGGTTCAGGACACCAAAGATCCCAGGTAGCTGAAGCCTGCGCTGTGCCAGGCTACTCGCAAGCACAAATTGCAGAAATGACGGGTGTTGGGCCCTAGCCAGAGAGCAGGACTGACTTGCAGAACTGCAACAGTCTATCAGCTCTGCCCCTGCAGGTGACTGACAGCCTCCCCTGATCTGTCAAGCTTAGACAGCCCATGGCCATTGGAGCTTCACGCAAGCAAGGAGTGCTATTGGGAGATTTGTACAGCCCTGGATATTAGGGTCATGTGTCCATTTTTGTAAAAGTATTTGACATTTAGCTGAAGTACCCATTTAACCAGGCATCCTGGGTTTTATCTAGCCACCTGCTCAGCCTGGAGGGGCTGTCAATGAACTCATTCTCTCCCTGCCACCCCCTGGCGAGACCCAGAGACAGATTCTCAGAAGCATGCCTGGACACAGCTGCTCTCCTTGTCATGAATGCCTTTAATTCAACTGCTAGGCTGAAATAGAGTGCGTGGAAGGGAAGATTAAAAGCCGAAGCCACAGAGGGGTACTTAAGAAAACAAAACGCTAAAGAGCGAGATGTACAGCCCTGGCTCTGGCCCCCACAGCAGGCAGCATTCCGGAGAACCATGCTGGGCAGCGATGCCAGGACAGTACCCCCTTGGAGTGGCCTGACAAGCTGTGGGCAAGTGAGCCTGGAGAGAGATAGGTTTCCCTCCACACTCAGGAAGGCCAGTGCCTGGAGCAGCTCTCCAATGCTGGGCTCAGCTGCTGGGCTTCAGAGAAGACCAAGAAAGGAGCCAAGGTAGAATTGGCAAAATTCAAACCATCACGAGAAAGCTGCATTTATTGAGCACTTACTGGACACCAAGCCCTGAATCAGTGTTGATCTTGTGCCACGCTCTTAATAGGGACCTGCTGGGCTGTCTACATTCTCAGGTGCCCTATCTTTTCAACCAGGGAGACCAGGGCTGTGAGAAGGGAAAGAGAGTTTTCCATATGGATGGTGCCAGGGCTTGGTGGTATAGAGGTAGGCACTGACAGCTAGAGATTTGAAGGAGGATGATTCTGGGCCAGGACCCCAGTTCATACCCACCTAAGGAAAGTGAAGAACAATTGTGAAATTCATGGGGCGAGTGTCACATGGCATGGAAGTAGCAGAGGCAAGACTTGAACCCAGGTCCGATAGTCTGTGGTGTACTTATCCACATTTTTGTCATCTTCTGGACTGTGTCTGACCCACACTGACAAGGTGCTGACTCAGGAACCATGGAGTGAGCAAGTGAAGGACCCAGGAAAGGGGCTGTGAGGGATAGAGGAAGGGGACAATGGGGTGGGGCTAGCTTGAGAGCCACTTGGAGAAATACAGGTGACGTTGATGGTGGGGTCAGTCAAGGTCCAGCTGCTGCAGGCGGGGCTAAGGAAGCTGGCCTTGGGGATTGGCTGGATTAGAGCCTGAGCTGTGTGGTCCCCTTACAGCACCTGGCCACAGGATTAGAAAGCAGACAGGCCTTGGGCCAGCCTGGCCTGAGTTTGCATTCCACAGTTCCCTTGCCAGCACTGTGATTACAAAGTGAGGGTGAGCACCCCTGGGAAGATGGAAACAGACATGTCTTCTCCCCAGATGGGACACAGACGACAGACCCAAGAAATAATTCCACCCAAGTGGAGCTTGGTGAACCAGAGCATTTACTGGCATTCCTTACAGGAGTGTGAGTGACCCAAAGGCAGAGCCATCACCCGAAAGGCCTGATGACTTGAGAATGCTGCACCCCTGGGTCTCCCTGCACAACTTGGCAGGCAGCTTGGGCAGCTGGACAGCCTCCTCCCTCGAGCAGTTCATACCATGGACTTGAAAGGACGGCAAGGAAATGCTGAGAACAGCCAGCGCATGGGGCTGGCTGCCCTTGAGGTCCCAGCAGGCAGGGACCCTGGTGGCACTATCCCATCTGTGGGCCTTGGGTGCCTTGGGGTGATCCAGTGCACTCTGTTGCACACTACAGTGTCTTTCCCCAGCCTCCTCTGGCTTTGTCATGGGTTTATTTTTATTGGAAAGCTAGCTATTTTGTCTCTTGTCTTTTTCTTCTTTCATTTAAAAAGTGTTTGTTGTTGTTTTATATCATAAAAGAAAACAGCCTGCTAGTCAAACCAGTTCCAGCAGAACGCACTCCCCAGTGGGAGGCTGTGTGTCTCACTTGTTGCTGTCTTTTCCTTTAATAAACTAAAGTGTTGCTGACATTTTAAGGTGACCCAAGAATGCATGCTACATGCAAAAATCTCACGGTGTAGCATCAGATATAGAAATAACTGTTGTCTGCCTCACATCTCTCGCCTCATCTGCGGTTAAGTTCATCCGATCCCAGCCTTTGAGCTGGCTTGCTTCTGGATGGAGCATTTTAGGGAATGTCATAGTAGATCCACTTGCAAAGCTGTCTCCTTCCTGTGTGACCCTCATGCATCCACATGAGGTTCAGCCGCTCTGAACCACAATGGCTTCATGTCAGTCTGACTGGAGGAGAGCTACGATGAGGGCCCTGGGTGAAGTTAGTGTCTCACCAACAGCCGAGGTGATGCTCTTGGGTCTTGGCAGGTTGGGGACCAGATTCTGGAGGTGAATGGGCGGAGCTTTCTCAGCATCTTGCATGATGAGGCAGTGAAGCTGCTCAAGTCATCCCAGCACCTCATCTTGACAGTGAAGGACGTCGGGAGGCTGCCCCACGCACGTACCACCGTGGATCACACCAAATGGATTGCCAGTTCCCGGATTGGGGAGAGCACCACCAACTCAGCAGGGTCTGGCCCCAGGCATAGGGTTTGGGGGACCGCTGGGTGGCTTCTGAGAGCTGTGTCCTTCCCACCCTCTACCACAGGGATCGCAGCTTGGTGTCCCCACCCCACTCTCCACTCACAGCATGTGAGCTGTTCCCTTCCTCTCCTGGCCTCAGTTTCCCTGCGGAAGACTGAATTGCAGGACCAGAGCCCTCAGTCTCTGCCAGCAGGCGAATCATTTAACTCCCTCTTGGTGCCTAGCTCTACATCTGAAAGTGGTTTCCCGCCCCCATGTCATACTGCCAGAGAGGACCCCAAGAGGTACTGAGGGTGAAAGTCTCGGAAGCAACAAAGCCAGGCACAGTAGACAGGTGACACAGCTGCAATAAAGTAACCTGAGTCACTCCTGACCCCCATCAGATGTCTCTACGTAGTTGGGGATCCCTGACCAAACACCCCTCATGACATCCTCTTTCTTTCCCTCACTCCCTTTCTCTTGCATAATGTTGCACATTCTTAAAAACGAATTGCTAGGGCCAGGAGTGATGGTACACACCTTCAATCCTAGCACTCAGGAGGCAGAGACAGGCAGATCACTGTAAGTTCCAGGCCCTCTTTGTCTGTATAGTGAGTTCCAGGCCAGCCAGGACTACATAGTAAGACCTGTCTCAAAATTAATCAATTGCCAACATTTTAGAAAAACATTGGATTTCCCATTTTAAAACTATATCTCTGGTTGTTTCTTAAAAATCCAACCTACATTTTCTCATGAAAACATGGGCTGAGACAGTCACCCTGGCCGGTGGCCCCTGGGGATCTTCAGCACCTGTTCCCACCTTCCCTGGGCTGAATGACCTAGAGTCACCTGTCAAGGCCCACTGCTCTACCTTCCCCTGTAATTCCTGAAGCTCTGTTCCCACAGCAACCAGGAAGCTCTGAGTCCATCAAGGCAGCGGGCACTGAGGACGGCATCTTGCACTGCATGGTAGTACACTGTGTTAATGAAGAAACCACCCAGTCCTGGGGTTCACATGCCCCTGAGTTGTCCCCAAGCAGTGGCCATGATTTGTGTAGTTGTGTGGTCTCTCAAACCTTTGCTCTGCTTTGGGGTGAGGAGAATTTTTGAGACAGGGTCTCTTAGCCCTGGCTGACTTGGAACTCACTTGGTAGCCTAGGTTGGGCCTTGACCTTCAGATCTTGCCAAGTGCTGGGATCACAGGCATGTACCACCACACCATCTAGAGTCTGGCTTGCCTACTGGGTTCAGCCTTGCCTATATGTGTCTTGTTCCATGTGCTGACATGCACTGAAGGGACTTGTTTCTCCACAGGTTTCCAGGGGACCTCACAGCAGAAGGGACCAGCAAGGTAGGTCTCTTCATCTCTGGGACATCCTCAACCTCCTCCTCCTCTCTCAGGCTCATGCAGAGTGTGCTCAGTGGTTCACACACTTTAAGGCATTTCCACCGGGTGGTCCAACTGTCCTGATGCCTGCCTGTGCATCACTCATACATTACCTGAAATAATGTGTATGTGTGTGGGGATTGAACATACTGTAAGTACGGAGGTTTGTTTCCAAGATTATTTCAGATGATCTGAACCAGTGATAGTGGCCAGGAGACCTGAGGGATCATTGGTAAGCATTAGTTGTTGGTGATAGGAGCTGCTGGAGTGGGTGGAATGAGTTGGGGGTACAGATCTGCATTATAGTTTAGAAATATAGGAACTCAACTGAGCATGATGGCACATGCCTGAATCTCTCTGGAGGCAGAGGCAGGTGCATCTCTGTGAGATCGAGGCCAGCCTAGCGAGTTCCAGATCAACTGGGGCTACTGGGAGACCTTGTCTCAAAACAAAACAACAAATTGAAATACAGGAACTCTTGTCACTCCTGTTTACCAAGGGAGATAGTGAGGCCCAGAGAAACCAATAGTGTGCATCTGGATGGGCAGAAAGCATGTGGAAGAAAGCACCACTTAAGGGGTTTGCAACTGAATGTGACCACTTAGAGATGTCACCCTGGGGTGGGAGTGAGGGTTCCCGTGTATGTGGAGACCATCAAAGGGAAGCCGCAAGGTCCCTCTGCGGTGCTGCTGTGGTCTCAAGTAGATCCCCTGACACCTCCTGAGCAGCCTAGACTCCCCTGGGCTGTGTGCTTTCATCTTTCAGCCAGGATTTTACAAGGGCCCAGCCGGCTCCCAGGTGACCCTGAGCAGCCTGGGGAACCAGACACGTGCGCTGCTGGATGAGCAGGCCCGGCACCTTCTGACAGAGCAGGAGCGTGCCACCATGGTGTACTACCTGGACCAGTACCATGGCGGCGGCATCTCTGTGGAGGCCCTGGTCATGGCACTGTTTGAGCTGCTCAACACACATGCCAAGGTGACTTGCTCACTCCCTCTGCCCCTGCCCCCGTCCCCGCCCCTGTTACCAAGAACCTCAACCCAACTGAACCTGGACCAGATGCAGGAGACCAAAGCAGCACCATCCTCCCATCTAAAACACTCCCAGGCACAGGGACATAGGTGCACTGGCCATCAGTGCTGAATGTGTTCCACAAGCAGTATCTGGCCCCGCCCAGGGCTGGCTGACTCCATGGGTAGGAGCCTGTGCCAGACATCTGCACAAGGCCCAGGTGACAGTGTTGGGCTACCAGTTTGAGAAGACTGCTTGGGTGGAAGTCTGTTTGTGGGTCAGAAACTGTTTAAAGGAAGAAGTGGCTAAATCCATCAGGAGAGAGCACATTTGGGAAGACAAGAGGAAACACTGGAAGGGATGGCCAAGGGCTTGGTGGCATGAATATGATGGCTTGTTCAAGGACTTAGTCACATATGCATACTGGGGAGGGGTGGTTCGGGACAGGGAAGCAGAAATCAGATGGGTCCTGTGTCTGGAAAAAAGATACTTAGATGTTCTCCTGAGGCCACTGGGGAGCCATAGAGGGTTAAGGACAGGAGGTCAGGTTTGCATGCAGATCACTTGGGAATAATAGAGGTACCAGTCTCACCTACTTGTGAAGTCCCTGTTAAGTGTCCTACTTTTCCCCCCACCCCACCCTTCCCCAGTTCTCGATCCTGTCTGAGGTGAGAGGCACCATCTCCCCACAAGACCTGGACCGCTTTGACCACCTGGTGCTGCGGCGGGAGATCGAGTCCATGAAGGCTCGGCAGCCTGCAGGCCTCAGCACCGGGGACATCTACTCCATGGTGTCCTGCAGTGACACGGGCTCATCCACTGGTAGCCATGGGACCTCCACCACCATCAGCTCAGCCAGGGTGAGCAGTGCCTGCCCAATCTGTGACTGGAACGTCAGGGGCACAGTTCATTGAGCTTTCCCTCATTGAGCCTCAGTTTTCTCATCTGTAAAGACCAGACCATTGTGGAGTGCCTAATATATGCCGGGCATGGAGATGACGGATATATAAGACATGCCTTATGGGGCTCTCAGTCTAGAGTCTATGGTGAGCTAGAGCCTAGGGAGAAAGCTTTTTAAATCTTATTCTTAAGTAAAAGATAATTAGGGGCTGGCAAGATGGCTCAGTGGGTAGGGGCACCTGCTGCCAAGCCTAAAGACCTGAGCTCAATCCCTGAGACCCACACAGCAGAAAAAGAGAAACAACTCCTGCAGGTTGTCTTCTGGCCTCCACTTGTGGGCTATAGCATGCACATGCCCCCGCAAGATAAAAATGTAATAAAATGGGCCAGCGTAATGGCACACGCCTTTAATCCTAATGCTCAAGAGGCAATGGCAGGTGGATCACTGTGAGACGGAGGCCAGCCTGGGATGGTACAGGGGTACAGTAGCAGTGATGGCCATTTGGTCTGTGGTTCTGGGTCCCCCAAGAGGTTACCCTTTGTCTGTGAAGCCCCAAGCCTGGCTTGGCTTTCTTGCCAATTTAGCTCCCAGAATAGCATCTGGTCCATATTGAGCTGTGGTTCTGCTCCCAGGAGGCTCAGGAGCAAGTGCCTTGTTTCTCATCCTAGGGGACAGCCAGTCCCTGATGTCCTGAAGAGAGGAGAGTTGGGTAGGAGGGCTAGAGGCCTGAAGCTGGTATGTGTTCTGTTGAGAGGGAAGGAGTGGTATTTCTGAACCAGGAGCTGTCCCTGGGCCATCACAGACAGAAAGAACACAGGACAGAAACAGGAGCTGAGCCAGTGTAGTGACTGTCCTGGCTGCAGGCATAAGCTGCCCTGTGGCTGGCTGATGGCCACAGGTTCTTGATTGGGGTCATTTTCTCTGCCAATTAAAGAATTAAAAGGCAGAGAAAAATCTCAAACACAGTAGAAGGCATCAGGCAAACAAATTTTATTAAAAGATGAAGAATCATACCCTTGTAATACACATTCATACCAAGAGAAAAGCTCTCCACAAACAGAGAGGGGATTCAGAAACCAAAAAATCCAAAGCCCCCAAGGAGGGCCTGGACTTTTCAAGTGTTTCTGCTGCTCTGGGGCAGGTCCCTCTCCCCTAATTTTGATTGGTCAACTTAAAAAAGAAGAGAGAGCTCATAGGTCACAGCCCCAAGCCGTCAGGTCCTGCCTTAGACTTACCTAAATTGGTCTGGACCTGTCAGCCAGAAAAGAGGCCTTGCTGGCTTGGGGGGAGGGGACGGGGAGCCCCCAGGCCTCCTTTGCCTGGGGCCACGAAGAAGCAGGAAGTGTGTTGTCTTTTGTCAGTGCTTGCGTTGCTGGTGTCTGCTTACCACGGATTTAGGCCCTCACACTGGAGTGCAGCCCTCACTCCTGCAGACTCGCTCCTGAGCAGCTTTTCTTTAGCTTTTAGACTCTGGGTTTCTGGGGGACCTTTTCCACCTTCAGTCACCTTATCTTCAGAAGTCCTCATCCCTTCCTGAGGTGCCTCCCTCCGGGGCTATAGATATGCTCTAGATATGCTGGCAGTAGTTTCAAGTTCCAGGAAGTACAGGTCATTTCCCAGGCAGGCTCTGGTTCCCCTTGCAGCACATGCTTTGATGGTTTGGTGGTTTCAGGATGCAGGTCGTGGTCTGCAGTCCGCTTTTCTCTGGGTCCAACTTCTTTGACCTTAAAATGGTCACATGGAGCTTCAGGCAAAGCATAGTTCTAAAACCCAAAGAGTTATAAGCTGCAGCTCTGGGCTGGTCCCTATAATCAGGACCAGAGTACATTGTGATACTGTCTTCTAGTTTAGGCGGCAGGAGATCTAAGTTTAAGTACTGGTCTCCTTGGGCCTCCGTTTCTTCACACATAGATGGCCTAAGGTTCCGCTGGCTCTGACTCCAGTGGCCTGACATCCTGAAGGCAGGGCAGGGTGGAGGACAGGAGGAGCCAAGACAGCTGTAGGCCTGGAAAGGGCTCTGCAGAGTTCAGGAGCCTCAGCCCACAGTGACCTTCCACCCTGAGAAGCCGCTCCTCAGGTTAGCTGGGGAGGGCACCAGCAAGAAGGCCCTGGTGTAGAGGGTATACCCTGGGAGTAGCTCTGAGCAGACATCCTTGTAGGGAGATAGAGGGGTGTCCTGAAGCCCTCCACACAGTTCCTGAGAAGAGGACCATTCAAATAATCAGTGACACCCCCTGCCCCCGACAGAGATGAGCTCCTGGGATGGAATCTCAGAGGGCTGCATGGGTGAGGAGGCAGAGAGGGAAGTCCCCTCACCTCTCCATTCCTCAGTTTCTTCTCTTGTAGGGAGAACTGAGAGAGAAAACTCCTTGGGCCCAGGATGGGTATTGGTATCCCAGGAATATGGCCTACACACCCCAGGATAGGTGAAACCTTGCTATTTCCTGGGCTCCCTTCCTGCTCAACAAACTCCCTGGAGATTTGCTCACTGGATTCTGTAGATCCTGAGACTCTGGAAAGCACTGTGCTGAAGAGCACTGCCTCCCCCCTCCCCAACTCCTCCCAGGGAATCTGGGGCTCCAGAATCAGTACTGGGGCTCAGTCAGTACTCGGGCCTGTGCCTGCTGGATCAGGTTCTCCAAGTAGGCTCCCTTGAAGTCTGCCTGGCCATAGCAGGTGTGGCCTGGGACAAGCCACTGCCTTTCTCCAGCCAGCTTTTCCTTCTGCAAAGGGAAACACTGGTCCCAGCCCTGCCCCCAAGGTGCCCACCTTCTCTAAAGACCCCCAACTAGGACAGTTTGCCTAGAGCATCGGGGCCTTGCCAGCTTCCTTGTAGGAGGCAGGTGGCAGTGGGCCACTGGCCTCTCTGTTCTCCTTCCTGTGAGGCTTCTAGCACAGACCTTAGGGACCCTGTTGTGCACATGCATGGTGGGTGGGGGAGGGCTATGCTGTTGCCTCCTCATCCCCTGACACTCATTTCATGGATTTTTCTTTTTGCCTTTTGCTCACCCTCCCTCCCCAGGAGCGGCTGCTGTGGCTTATAGACCTGATGGAGGTACCGTCCTTCTGCAAGGGGGCTGGGAGTCCCTGAGCCAGGGCAGAGCTGGGCCCTTCCTGCCGCCCTTGACCTCTGCCCCTGGTGGGGACTGGGCGTTCTTGACATTCTCTCTCCTGGTCACCACCTCATCAGGTGTCCTCAGACTCTGGAGAGAGAATGACCTCTGTTCAAGTCCCTGCTCTGCCTGTGGCCTGCTGTGTGACCTTGAGAAACAGTTCTACCTCTCTGAGTTTATTTTTAGGATCTTTAAAGTGAGGATGTGGTGGAGGGAACTCTCAGCCTTCACATATACCCTGTATTGTGTCTGTCTGGAATGTTTTTCCCATTTCCCATGGCCTGTGTCCTTTGTGCATGTAAACCCATGGCTTACCCATGGCCCCTCTTCCAGGAAGCCTTCCTTGACCTTCTTGAAGGGGTGACTTCCAGCTCTCAGCTGTATTTTAATGGGCTAGACAGATCTGTTCAGTTAGCCCCCTTGACCACCAGTTGTTGAGGGCAAGTGACCATATCTGGGGTCACCACTGAGTTCTCTAGTGTTCAACACAGAGTCTGGCCCTTGTGTCTAACCAGAGCCTTTTTGTTAGTAATAACTGGGATTTGTGGAACATTCTCTACAACCCGGTCCCAGCATCTCTCAGACATCTTCAGTGGCATTCCAGTAGCCAGGACCATCAGGAGCCTCATGTTGCAGAGAAGGACACCGAAGCTCAGAGAGGAGAAATGACTGTTCCAGGTCACACAGCTAGTGAGAGGCCAAGTCAAGGCTGGGTCCCTGTCCGGCTTTGCCTCTGCCCTGTGCTGTGAACCCTGTCATCTGACTGTTTCTTCCTGAAGCTGTTCTCCAGGCCTCACCTAGTTGTTAGCCTGTGTGTAGAATGTGTGTCATCGGTCTTCTCCCTCCTCTTCCTTCCTTCCTGTTAATCTTGACGAATTTGCAGAGTGCTGTGTGTACCCAGAAGCTGCAATATAGCAGAGAAAAAGTCGTCTTTTCCATCTGGAACTCAGAGCCCAGTACTGGACCGAGCAACATATTAAGTGATGATAAGCACTTCAGAGGACTAAAATCAGGAAGGGGACTTGGGGAGGGGAGAACTGGCAAAGGACACTTGAGGGAGACCTGAAGGGGCTGAGGGAGAGGGCCACAACAGCATCTGGAGGAAGGGCAGCTCAGAGTGGGAACAACATACCGCAAAGGTCCAGAGGTAGAGCAAGGCTGGAACATCCACACACAGTCTAGGAGGCAAAGAGGCTGGAACAGAGGGAGTGCATGGAAGGGTGGGACTGGTGGCTGCTGAGAACTTTGACTCTGACTCTGAGCCAAGTGGGAGCCTGAGCAGGGATGACATGGGCTAGCTCAGTTTCAGCAGGATCCTTGATCATTAAGAATAGACGGGGGAAGGTTATACCAACACACGAAGACCCAGTCCCAGGAACCAGCCAGGCCAGGGGCTCTGTGGAGATGGTGCAGCTGGTTGCTAAAAGATACAGTGATGGGCCGAGCAGTTGCCAGCTCTTCTATGCCCAGCAGCCCTGACCTGCTCTTGCCACTCCTCACCCCTCTAGCACTAAGCGGGCCTCAGACCTTGCACACCCAAACCCCCTGTGTGGGGGACCCGAAGGACACCACCTCCTCACCTAGAAGAATCTCTTGCTGGGTGTTCTGACTCACTCTGTCCCTATAATGCCATGTGCCCTCAAGGAAGCCCCTCCCCAACTCTTGCCTCTGTCTCCAGGCTCCTCAGAGTCTAAGAGTTCTCTGTTGAGAGGCACTAGGAACTATTCAGAAGGGCATGAAAAGAATGGTGGCTGTGTCCCCCAGCTCTGCATCTGAACAAGGGCTGCGGCCAAGAAAGGCAGAATGAAATTTACACACATGCACGCATGCACACACATGCATACGCACGTGCACACACACCCACCAGGGACTGGGCTGCAGCTCTCCTTGTGCTAGTCAGCTTCCACTGAAGTAATGCAGAGTAACAAAGAGCCCCACAAATCAGTGGAAGACAACCAAACCCAGAGCAGAGGTTCATGTCTCCTCTGTAATACCTGTCTCACTGTCTTAACCTTAGCATGAGTTTCCCCAGTAAGCAGGGAGAGCGAGTGGGTACAGGTAGGGACCACATCCTTCCAGCAGAGGCCCAGGAGATGGGCAAAAATGAAACTTAACCCATGTGTCAGCCACCCAGGGGATTGCCATCCCAACACTGGCCTCGCTAAGGAAAATGTGCCCGGCTCAGGTGCCTGGCTCCCAGCAACCCAGAGGCCCTAGACAGTTGTCCCAGATGGAGCCAGTTTCCACTGGACCTGGATTTCCTGAGTCACATGGCGCAGCAATCAATCCCAGGTTACACACAGCTGTGAGGGGACTGTGCAGCCATGTCCCCTCAGAGCAAAAACCATCAATCAAGGAGTCCGCATCAACTTCCCCTATGGACAGATGACATCCCCTCTCAATTTTTCTTCCAGAGTCAGCCTGGAGCTTTTGTTTTGTTTTGTTTTTTTCAGCCTCTAAACAGTATCCTATTCCCTGTAGAAACCTCTGGCCAGGAGAGTAGGTGAGAGAAAGGCCTTCCAGCATTTCTGGGTCTTTAATATGAATGGGACTGGACAGGACCCCATTGCCCAGCCTATGAATCCTACCGACCAGGTTCAGCTCTCTAGTCTCCAGTGGGTCATCTTGGGCAGTTTCCAAGCTTCACTTTCCATATCTTTGCATCGGGTTGAAAGACCTGGCATCTGTGGGTTGCTTGGGGAAGTGGGTGAACATTTCAAGGTAGCGTATGAGCTGTATGAGTGGTCTAAGGATTGGACAGAAAAGGATTATAGACATCCAGTCCACTTTTGTTCACTCAGAACAGCTGGACAAAACCTGGTCTTCACCCCAGACTTTTCTGCCTGGACTTAACACACTTCTCTCCCATGTTTGGAGAATGGTTCCTGAGGCTGCCCTCGTTGTGGCTCAGTGAGAGAGGGAAGCGTTGGCCATTGTGTATGACCCTCTCTGCTTGTCATAGGATGCAGAGGGCCTGTTCCTTCTTCTGACTCTGGACCAACCTGGTTCTGTTTAGAGACTACTTTGAGGAGCAAACCCTTCATTCTCGTTTTCATTCATCCTGCCCTACCATCCACCCTGCTCACCTGAAGCTCACAAGCCCAGTGGAGGAGGCAGTTTCAGATCTAGAGCTGCATAGGGTTGGAGTGCATCTCAGTGTAGCTAGCATGAGCAAGGCCCTGGGTTCCATCTCCAGCGCCCTATAAAAACAGAATCTACTAAGTCCATGTCTGAGGGTGTGAGAGAGCATAGGTTGGGGCCTGGTGACTGGGACATCCAGGAGAGATGGTCAAATTAAGATCTGGAGTTTGGTATTAGCCAGGCACTAGCTAAGGTGAGACGGTTTAGGAACCCCCAACCTGAGCTGGTCAGTGGTGTCAGGAATGATGGGGGGAAGGCAACAGGCACTGAGGACTTGAACTTAATTCTAAAACCATGACAATCATGAGAAAGTGACATGAACCTGTTTGGATCTAAGGAGCCTCCCTTGGGGGTGCAGAAGGCCAGAGAGTGGCAGGTGCTGTGCATGTTCCAGATGGACTGACACTGGATGCCTGGATTAGTTTGACCTTTTGTGCGCTGACAAAACACCTGGATAACTTAAGAGGAGGGCAGAGTTCTTTTGGCTCATGGTTCCAGAGGGCTCAGCCCATCACTATTTGGCCTCATGCCCGTGGACAGAGCATCATGGTGGCCAGAGTATGTGATGAGAAGCAGTTCACTTCATGGAGGCCAGGAAGCAGAGAGGGGAATACAGGAAGGAGTCAAGACAAGATAAAGCTTCAAAGATATGCGCCCCCCCCCCATGACATACTTCCTCCAGCTAAGCCCCACCTCCTCTTTTCACCTCCCAATAACATTTTTTAAGGTAAATCAAGGGATGAATCCATTGATTAGATCAGAGTCCTCAGGATCCTGTCACCTGCCCAGAGCCCATCAACTGGTCACCAAATCTCCATGAAGCTGTGGGAGACATTTCACATTCAAACTGTTAACAATGCCCTATGCCAGGAAGCTGCCCAGAAGAGGCCACTGTAAGTTTGGGGTGTGTCCTCGCCACTGAGAAGAGCAGCCCACTCCAGCCCAGCAGGTCTCCCACCTGTCCCTGGCACCTCAGAACCATCCCTTCAGAGGCATTAGCACTCCCGTCCCGCCCCGTGGCTGTGCTTTATCTAGTGGTTCCCTTCTTCCCGCCTGTACTTTCATCATGTTGGGTTGGCAGAACACCTCCCTCACTGAATGAAGATCTGGGATGCAGAAGCTGTTTCTATCAGATGGAGCCAAGTCCACAAGCTCAGAGCCTGCCAATCAAGGCTGCGCTCTGTCCCCTGCCCCCTGAGGACAGAGTTTCTCAGCTAACAAATGGGGAGCTGAGTGTGTGCTAGCTATGGCAGGCTCTTCATTGACTGAGCTCTGGGCCCCTTTGGAGGCTGGTGGAACTCTGGCTCCCTTATCAGAAAAACACCTTAACTGTTTAGAAATTAAATACAGAGGATGACAAAACAGTTGTACGATCAACTTGGCTCTCAAAACATAGGAACACATTAGAAACCATGCTGCTTTCTTTATCCTGGTAACAAAGTTGAGCCCCGGGTTAGTAACTACTGTGTTATGAGGCCAATGGGTGCCAACAGATGCTGTTGACATCTATGTGATAGAGATGTGACAGGAAAGATCTGGGACTTTGGTGGGTGATTGTGGCTGATTCCTTGAAGCTCTGTTGCCTCCACTCAGGATGGAAGGAGGCTCTGAAAATGGATTGCTGTCCCTGAGCCAGGCTTTCTGTTTGTGTTCCTGCTCCAGAGTCCTGCTTTCCAACACTTGTCCTAAGGGCTCTTCCAGCCCTAACCTGGAGATTGTGGGTCATGCTGTCTTTCTGCTTACTGTGTGACATCGTTTCCCAGGGACCAGGGAGGGAGATTCTGGGCCAGGTGTGTCAGCT